CAGCATCCCTTTCAATATTTGGGACATCAGTTATATCCTAATCAGATTGTAGCACAAAAAATCCAAATAAGAAAGGATAATCTATCTACTTTAAATGATTTTCAAAGGTTATTGGGAGATATTAATTGGCTAAGACATCATCTTAAGCTTACCAGAGGAGAACTTAAACCTCTGTTTGATACCCTCAAGGGGGCTGCAAATCCTAATTCCCTTCGATAGTTAACTGATGAGGGACGGATAGCTTTGCAGAAGGTGGGGGAAGCTATTAGCCAACAGCAGATACATTATATAGACTATAACCAATTGTTGGCGGCTTGCATCCTTGCTACAACTCATGCGCCCACAGCAGTCCTTTGGCAAAAGGGACCATTAATGTGAATTCATCTTCCTTCATCTCCAAGTAAAGTTTTAACACCCTATTATGAAGCTGTAGCTTTGTTAATGCAGAATTGTAGAATAGAATCTAGAAAATATTTTGGGAAAGAACCTGATGAAATATTTATTTCTTATTCCAAACTACAGTTAAATTGGTTATTGCAGAATACTGATATTTGGCCTATTGTATGTGCAAACTTTTCAGGCAAAATTGATAACCATTATCCAAAAAATAAGTTGTTACTGTTTTCCTCTCTGCATGCTTTTGTATTTCCTATAAATTTACACATGCAGCCCATAGAAAGTGCGCTTACTGTGTTTACAGATGGCTCATCTAATGGGAAGGCAGCATATGTGATAGGATCACATGTTCATTCTCTTGAGTTTCCCCCTGCTTCAGCACAAATAACTGAACTACGTGCTGTAGCTGTTGTTTTTGAAACACTGAAAAACCAAGCTTTTAATTTGTATACCGATAGCCAATATATAGCTCATGGTTTACAATTACTTGAAACTGTTCCTTTTTTTAGATACTGCTAATTCTCAAATTTTGCAATTACTTATGCAAATACAACTTAATTTAAGAGAATGTACAGTTCCTTATTTTGTAAGACATCTAAGAGCTCATACTGGACTGCCCAGACCCCTTAGTGAGGGCAATGCCACAGCAGATTTATATATCAGGAAGGTTATAGGCCTTACACAGGTCAGTTAGCCAAACAATCTCATTCTCTACATCATCAAAATAGTAATAGCTTGAGACAACAATTTGGTATTTCTAGAGAATGTACACGTCAAATTGTAAAGACTTGTCCTGAATGTCCTCAATTTCTTCCTGTACCACATAATGGTGTTAATCCTCGAGGACTTATACCTAATCAATTATGGCAGATGGATGTTACTCATATTTCTGACTTTGGAAAACTAAAATATGTACATGTGACTATTGACACCTTTTCAGGCTTTCTAGTTGCAACTGCTTTAACAGGAGAAGCAACAAAAAATGTAATTAATCATTGCCTGCATTGTTTTTCTATACTGGGTGTTCCCAAACAGATTAAAACAGACAATGGAACTGTGTATTGCAGTCGAGCATTTGAGAGTTTCTGTCGACAATTTGATATTACCCATATTACTGGGATCCCCTATAATCCTCAAGGACAAGGTATTGTGGAACGAGCTCACGGAACTTTAAAACAATACCTTCATAAAATAAAAAGGGGGGAGTTATACCCCCATTCACCACAAAATTGTTTAAATCATGCTCTTTTTATTCTAAATTTTTAAAATTTGGATGTTCATGGATGTTCAGCTGCTGAGCGTTTTTGGCATCCTCATACTTCCACTACATATGCTTCAGTAAAGTGGAAGGATCCTATGACAGGCCAATGGCATGGACCCGACCCTGTACTCATATGGGGACGAGGTTACGTTTGTGTTTTTTCACAGAAAGAAAATGGAGCCCGGTGGCTGCCAGAAAGGCTGGTGCGACAGATGGATCAACCCCTTCTTCCTGTTGATACCCCTACGGATAATGATGATTCCTGCACACAGTGAAGTCCACTGGGCCTATGTTCCTGACCCACCACTGATACATCCAGCAGTGTGGTCCAGACCGGAGATTCTCGTAACCAGTAATAATATTCAACTTCTTGGGTCTCCCTGGACAGGGGAGACAATTTATAATAAGACTGTGACTTTCAATGCGTTCAGTGATGGGATTCCTGTTTGCTTTATGAAGAATAATACTAATGATGAATGTGTTTCGGTGTTTCTTCAAACTTGGAAGAAAAAGGTTTCACACACTGTTACTCAAGGTATAGAGATGGGCATGCCCAAATACTATATGGGACTTGCCCCTGATCCTCATGAGCTGCAACCTTGTGGATCAGTACCCACAGAGAATGTGGGACAGGACCTTGACAAGGTCATTAGTTGGACAGAATGTTTTACTCAACCCCCAATGTGGTTTAACGTTTCTAGTAAAATGCGAATTATTGATTGGGCAGGGAATCAATCAAACATTGGGCAAAAGGAGATGTCCGTAGGCCTTTGGCAATCAGAAGCAGGTCATTTTCAACAGCATATCTGGAAGTTAGCAGCAGCTCTCTATGAAGTCACACTGGCTATAGATAACATTGGGACAGGATCTGGACTGACAACAAGTGTTAGTACATGTGTTAAAACTCCTAATCTTTTATTAATTGGTCATGTTAAAATTACTTTTATCGCTTCTACTGTGTTCAATGTAGGTTGTATTGATTGTATACTTTCTAATTGTGTTAGTGTGTTGAAGTCTGGCATGTCTGTTATAGTGGTCTATCAACCAGCTTTTGTTTTATTGCCAGTAAGTATTTCAGAACCTTGGTATTCTGAAAAAGGTTTACAAGTATTGGAAGAAGTGAGTCATGATTTAAGCAGAAGCAAGAGAGTAGTGGGCTTGATTATTGTTGGTATAGCAGCTTTGATTACATTCATAGCTAGTACCACTGCTTCCGCAATTGCTTTCACACAGGAAGTTTTTTGTTTTTTGTTTTTTGTTTTTATTGGATATTTTATTTACATTTCATATGTTATCCCCTTACCCCATCCCCCACCCACCCAGGAAACCCCCATCCCCTTACCCCTCCTCCTTCTTCTCTGTGAATGTAACCCCCACCTACCCCCCCCACTCCCACTTCCCCACCCTCAAAATTCCCACCCCCTGGGGCGTCCAGCCTTCATGAGGTCAAGGATATCATCTTCCACCTGTGCCCGGCAGGGCCCTCTACTCTTACATATTCAGCTGAAGCCCTGGATCCCTCCATAAGTGCTCCCAGGCTGGTGGTTAGGACCCTGGGAGCTGTGGTTGGTTGGTATTGTTGCTCTCCTCATGGTGCCACAAACCCTTTCAGCTCCTTCAGTCCTCACTCTAACTCCTCCATTGAGATCCTCATGATCAGTTCAATGGCTAGTTGTGAGCATCTGCCTCTGAATATTGACACAGGAAGTTAAGACAGCTACATTTGTTAATCATCTAGCAAAAAATGTTACTAATATTCTGAGTATTCAAGAGAATTTAGATAGACGTTTGGAACAACAGATTGATGTTCTTTATGATACTGTTCATATTATTGGAGAGGAGGTTCAGAGTTTAAATGTAAGGAGCCATCTCGAGTGCCATGCCAAATACCAATGGATTTGTGTTACTGCTAAAATTTACAATGACAGCCACTATAATTGGGAAAAGGTTCAGAGACACTTGCAGGGTATTTGGCATAATTCTAACACCTCTTTGGATGTTTTAGCCTTGCACACTGAGATTGTGAATTTAAAGAATGCTGCTCCACTGAACTTTGATCCAGCAGATACTGCTGATAAAATTATTCATGGCCTGATGTCAGTGTTTCCATCTTGGTCAAGCTTCAAGAATGGCATAGATAGCTTGATCATGCTAGCCCTTTTTGTCCTGGGAATACTTTTATTCCTGCTTGCCATATTAAAGCTTGTCTTTAACTACATCAACATGCTGGCAGCCAAAGTACATGGCTTGAAACTAAGAATGGACCCCCAAATTTAACAGGCTGGCAAGCCAATGACGGGCAATCTTCTGAAGTGCCTTACCAAGCTAAGACAGAAGTGCCTTGCTTTTGGTAATGCATATTCAGTGTCAGCTAAGGGGGGCGTTGCTGTCAGAATGACCTAAGACAGGCTCAGTCTTGTTAAATAATATAAATGGGGGAGATGTGGGAAGCCACTGGGGCTGCTTGGCAGGAACCTGACATTGGCCAAGGACAAGGAAATGGGCTTTAGACAAGAATCTGACTTTGGGCCATGACAAGGAAGTAAGTTCAGGCAGGAGTCTATTTTTAGGCTAAAACAGTGAAGTAAATTCAGTCAGGAATCCTGGTCTTAGGCTAAAACAAAGAGGTAAGCCTCAGGCATGAATATGACTGTGGGCTAGGACAGGGAAGTAGACTCAGATACTTTGTCATCCTGACGAGACCTTAGAACCAGCAATCATGAGAGTGATCACGGGGTGATCACGGAACTCTGTATATTGCCTTGTTTGTTCCTTGACTGTTTCTATTGTAATATTGGTTCCTCAAACCTAGAACTGACCTAAATACTTGAATGTAATTAAAAGGGTTTAAAAGAAAAGTTGAATTAAACGAACCTGCCTTCAGCCTCAGAACTGGCTGGGGTCATGCTGAAAAAAAAAAAAATCCAATAAAAGACAAAAAGAGGATGACAACTTCATTACATGAGACTATTAGAGAGAAATCCACACAACCAGCGTGGTGGGAGACATTATGACACAGAGAGATTGGAGAAGAGGAGAGAAGGAATAGAGGAAATACAGAAGAAAGAAGAGTGATTACAAGGCACTTAGGAAATGGAAAATGCTAGATAAGGCAGAAGGTCAAGGTGGAACCAAAGAGAACCAGCCATGCCAAGGTCTAGGCCGTGTCTCCCAGCCCACAATGGAGGCTGGGCACAAAGGCCCAGTTATGTTGTCAGTGACCACAAGGGCGGATCTTCTGCAACATGGGAAAAGAAGAAGCCAGATCAATAAAGGAAGTTGCTGGCTACAAGGAGGTGGAGACAGAGAGGTCCTGCCCCGACTCAGTCCTCCACATGAGAAGGTCTGGGGATCATCCGTCTCACTTTACCTTGATTCTCTCTGGACTCCTGAGCACCCCAGTGTCCCTAGACAGGGCTCTCTCCTGTTCCTGATGGCTCTGCTGATCTTGTTTCCTGGAGCGACTCTGGCCATGGTTCAGATCCTGCTTCTGTTGCTGTCGCCAGCATGTCTGAACACTGGTGAGTGGTGGGGACCTCACTAGCAGGAACTAAATCAGAGGAGGGGACATTGGTGCTGGGAAGAGTGTGTATCATGTGGACAGGTGTCTGCTACAGGAGCCAGCCAGGCCTGTCTGCCCCAAGAGAGAACTCATCCCTCAGAGGGAGCTGAACACAACCTTTTTCATGCTTTTCTGTCCCACCAGCCATAGGGAGAGTTCTGTCCTGTGTCCCGCCCCTTCCTGTGAATGAAGGCTCAAGTTGCACTGGATTGTCCTTTACAACTGTCCCCTGTCACTGTTTCCTGCAGTGACTTTGGATTTTTCCTGTCCTTCCTAGAGAACTCTGCAGGATCCAACAGAGAAAGCACCTTTGCGGTGAACCAACCAGCAAACCTCTCTGGATTCCAGGGCGGCTCCATAGAGATCCCCTTCTCCTTCTACTTTCCCTGGGAGTTGGCCAAGGATCCTCAGATGAGCATAGCCTGGAGATGGAAGCACTTCCATGGGGACTTCATCTACAACTCCTCCCTGCGTTTCATACATGAGCACTTCAAGGACCGGCTCATCCTGAACTGGACAGAGGGTCAGACATCTGGAGTCCTCAGAATCCTGAACTTGAAGGAGACTGACCAGGCCCTGTACTTCTGCCGTGTTTTTCTGCAAACAACAGAAGGCATAAAATTTTGGCAGTATTTTCCTGGGACTCAACTCATCGTGACCCGTGGTGAGCAATGACAACTCAGGCTTTGACACCCGTGGGTTCTTTATCCCCTAGTATCTTCTCAGACTTCACAACTCTGAGCTTAGTTTCCTATTCCTTTCCCTTGGCTCTGCCCACACTTCTGTCAACAGCATCTTTTCCTTGTAGTTTCGAGAAGTGTTTGCCGCCTTCTCTGCTGTGGTCTGTCAGTCTCACTTCCTACTCTGGGCTTCAGCACATGCCCTACCCCATAGCTCACACCCTTATTACTCCACATCTAACTACTGTCCTGCCCACTTTCACCCATGACCTCAAGGTGGATGAACTTCTCCAGCATGGAGCTGACTCTTTTGGTCCTGTTGGTCCCTGTGTGCAGCATCTCCACACAGATCCAACCTCAGCTCAGAACATATCATAGGGACCATTGCATGTTCTGGTGTCATCTGGTCTAACTAACTGCCACCTGTCACCACAGTTCCTCATTTGCCCCCGTAGCACCCCAGGACATATCTGTCTTCTCTCCCTAGGCTCTTCAGTAATTAGAAAATGAACAAGAAAATGCCTGCATTCTCTTGATGTGGCTGCTCTGTCTCATGATCCCTCTAGCCCCTCTGATTCAGAAGGAACTGCAGTCCCCTGCACTGGGAGTCCTAAGGCCCAGCATAGTCACTGTGTGTTCCTGCACATGGCCTTAGAGAAGAAGGGACTCTGTGTGGCTGCATTGTTTCCAGTGACCTTGCTCTGTGGGTCTTTGTTTATTACTCACTATGTAGACCCATCTGGCCTTAACTCACAGCAACCTGCCTTGCCTCTGCCTCCTGAGTGTGGACATTACAGCATGTGCCACCACATGCAGAGGTGTCTCTTGACTGTACTAAAGTCAGCCTCTGAGAGGATTCTCACAGCACAGTTATCTGTGCAGGCCACAGCTGCCATGTTGACATGATGCAAAGTCAAATAACAGCTGCCAGGACTCAGGGCAGAGAGAAAGGAGCCGTTTCCTGTATGTGTCTAGCTCAGTGGTTCTCCACCTTCCTAATGCTGCTTTTATACAGTTCTTCATGTTATGGGGACCCACATGCATAAAAGTATATCATTGTTACTTCATAACTTTAATTATTCTACTGTTATGAATCACAAGGTAAATACCTGATATGCAGTTCATGTGAGGTAGTGGTACACAGGTTGGGAACCTCTGATCTAGAATTCACAATAGGTAAGTGTTGGGAAATTTTTCTTTACTGATGTTTATAAACCAAATGGATCTATTGTGCCCTGGACTGAGCTGTAAACACATGAATAAAACTGTATTTTTTCTGCTACACATTTTGGTGAATTCAGTGTGTGTGAACATGTGGGTCTGTTAAGTCAGATGTCTCTCTCTCTCTCTCTCTCTCTCTCTCTCTGTCTCTCTCTGTGTGTGTGTGTGTGTGTGTGTGTGTGTGTGTGTGTAAGTTTCTGTGTCTGTGTGTCTCTATGTTTGTATCTAGGTATATGTTTCTGTGTCTGTGTGTGTCTCTGTATGTGTCTCTGTGTATATGAGTTTGTATCTGGGCGTATGTCTCTGTGTCTGTGTGTTTGTCTGTGTCTGTGCATGTATGTGTGTGTGCGTGTGTGTGTGTGCGTGTGTGCATATTTGTTTATGCATGTTGAGGCTACAGGAGAGCATGGGGTCTCATCCACCTTACTATCGGGAACAGGCTGTCTCTCTGGCTTCAAGGTTCCCATGGAGACTAGGCCAACTGGCCGGTAAGCCTCAGGGACAAGCCTGTCTCCACCTCCTCAGTACTGGATTACAGCCCACTCAGCTCTGTCTGGTGTGGAACCTGACACAGAGACCACCAGGCTGGCTCTCAGCTCACAGAGATCTGCCTGCCTCTGTCTCAGGCTAGGATTAAAGGTCATGCCCACTTTACCGAGTTCTTGATGTAGATATTGGGACCAAATTCAGGTTCTAAGGCCCAAGCAGCAAACTGTCTATGGACTAATCATATCTCTATGTTACATACATTTAAGTGAAAAAAATCACTGTACTTCTCTGCCTTACTTATCTGTGCAGAGAAAACCTCAGATATGATGACTATGGTCACCATCCTAGTTCACCATCAAATTTGTGTTTCTGTTTTTGATTGGTTGGTATTTTGTTTGATACATAGGCTTTCTTTTATAGGTCTGGCTGAGTTTCCTTTCATTTTGTTGTTGTTCCTTTTTTTCTTTCTTTTTTTTTTTTGATACAAGATTTCACTATGCCCCCCTTGCTGTCTAAAATCTAGATACATAAACCAGGCCCGCTTCAAACACAATGAGACCCATGTGCCTCTGCCTTCCTCCTCCCAAAGGCTAGACTTGAAGTGTGTATGTCCGTGCTCAACTTGGGGTATAATTTTTTAAATAGCACTTACATATTTATTCTGGGGTGTGCAGGGTCAGTAGGGGACACATGTGCTACAGCCTGAGCATCACCCAGGTTCCAGCACTGCAGTCTCACACTCCTCATGGTCCTGTGATATGCAACAGCCCCATGTCCACACCAAAACCTCAGGCTTCCTGTCCAAAGAACAGAGCCCATGACTGGGGACTAAGGAGCCCTCAGGTGGCAGTAGTGCAGTTGGTCACAAGGGGCAGCTGGCATCCTTTGGGACCCCCCAGTGCCTGTGTTTAAAAATGCTGGGGTCTAGCAGCTGACTTACAACACTTTTGTCAGGTCCAGACCCTCCATAGGTGGTTAGTAGTCAGGTGACCTTCTACCCAGAGACCTCAGACAGGGTAAGGCAGATGAAATCTGGAGGTGAGTACTCACAGCCAGGACATTCTTACAGACCACACTGAGCCACAGAGGTTCATCTGGTAGAGTGCTTACGTGCCTGTCATGGACAGAAAATGAAGTTCTTTGTCCACCGTGAGACAAACGGGCAGGAGGGTGCACACCTGTAATCCCAGCTGATGAGAGGCACAGACAGGGGATCTGTAGGAGTTCAAGATCATTCTTGGACACATAACAAATTTAAGGACAACCTTGGCCAAACTATAGCCTAAACCTCAGCCAGGTGAGCATCTGTGACCCCAAAAGCCAGGTTGGGGACCCTTTAGGAAGGTTTATTTTGAGAGGCATGCAAGGAATTAAGAGAGATGATTTAGCCAGAGTGATGTGCATGGGTAGGAGGACCCAAGTTTGATCAGGAGCTGCCACATTATAAACCATAGATCTGGTAGGAATTTGTAATCCAGCCCTGCATGCACAAGACACAGGCAGTCATGGGCCTGACTGTGTAACTAGTCTAGCCTAATTGGTGAGTTCCAAGCCCATGAGAGGCCATGATAGAAAAAACCATGTGGATCCTTCTCAAGATGATCAATCATGGTCACAATATTTTATACATTTATGTTAAGTAAAGTTTTTCAAAATTAGATATTAATGAACAACAAAACAGTATATCCCAGTAAGATAGCTCAATTGAAATGGAGCCTGCTGCCTAGCACAGTGACCTGTGTGTGATTCTGGGGACCCTAATGGTACACTGAGAAAACTGTCCTCTGCCTCTCAGCATCACCTACAGGCTTCTGGTGAGACACCATCTGTTATTCATGGCTAACAGAACTCCTGGTGCCAGAATCTCTCACCTGAAAGTGAGTTTTCATCAAAGTAGTGACTGAGAGCACACACCCTGCATACCACCACCCTTGCTGCGTCCAGAATGGGAGTCAGAGCTCCTGTATGCAGAATTGTGTGTGACACATGCTAAGAAGCCATGTGGGCTCTCATGTCCTCTCCTTAGAACCCAGGTCATCCTGTCTGTCTCTGATCTTGAAAGCCTGACTGTGCTGTTCTCTGTTGGTTCATGAAAATAATAACACTTTTTAATAAATGTGGGATCAGAAAGTCAAGCAACTTGGGTAGCCAGTTCAGAGCAAGACTGAGATCAAGACAAGTCCAAACCCTGAAAATTTCATCCTGAGATAAGCAGAAGTTATGACTGTTCCCTCCTTGTTCTGGGTCTGAATGTTCAGGTCCAAGAAGCCTACACGACCCCATCCTGGTCTGAGGGAGGCCATGTTTACTCAGGATGAAGACTGGGTAAAGTCATGGATGCTGATCAGCTCTTAAGACACCTTGTATACACCTTGTATGGCTTCTCTCTCTCTCTCTCTCTCTCTCTCTCTCTCTCTCTCTCTCTCT